TTCCAGTTACATCTTCAAGAACTAGCTGAAAGCCTGCAGCTCTCTAAGCTATTTATATTCTATACATCAATGCACAAAATAATAAATAGCTCTGATACAATGGTAGACCCTTTATTTGCTACAAATTCTCTATCATATGTAAATATTATCTTTCGTCAAAATTCCATTCTGGTTTCAACGTAGTTTCTCTCAGACATTGATAATGGGGCAAATAAAATAATGTTGTATTTTTGAAGGATCGCTCTGAAAATGTTCATGAAATTAATTTTCGCAAGATTATTATATCCCAAGATTACGTATATAATAATTATTTTACCGTATCATAACAAATTAGGTTGGAACATCAGTCTTGCACCAAATTTTTTGAAAAATCGTAAAATCCTACAAGTTTAATGAAATGTCCAAATCTATATGATTTAGAGAGAACACCTTGCTCATTCCAGATATTGAAATCCCAGAAATTTCTGAATTTGCTTTTATTTGAATTTCATGACCTATGCTTTTCAACTTTTCAAAGATAAGATTGGGCTAATAGGACTTCGCTAAAGAAGATGTAATTTTTGAATTTTCCATTCGAAATTGTTTGATTTTGTTTGAAAGAAAGTCCCCAATGTATACGATGAAATACTGCATAAATCATACACAATGAAAAAATACTATACAGATTGACGCTGGTCTAAGCATTTTTACTTAGGTTTCTTGGTATTTTTGGTGCAAGACTTATGTTCCATCCCTAATACTTAGAGGTTTATGGGCACAGAATCTCAGCTGATCAAATCTGCGAAATTGGACGATCCTATTTTGAATTGTTTTTTCTAAAATTTCATTGCAAAACTCAAAAACCCCCATAATAAGTATCCCTCAATGCTGCCGACTACATTTTTAATTGTATTCCCAAAATAGTACTAATCCACATGTAAAGTACCAGGCCCGCTTTTATCAACAGACCAAAACTCAAATACATTTTGTATGCATGACAGAGAATGTTATGGCCGATGCAACTCTTTCCGGTAGTGCTCAAAAGCTAACAATCTATTTGCATTGTTTACGACAACAATCTGTACGTATAGCTACTCTCGTGGTTAATTCGCATATTCATTTATTCTTATTTTCACAGTCCCCTCATTTCGACATTTCTTTCATCTATTCGATTTATTTCACAATTTTCTTCATCATAGAAGTAGTTTCTTTTTCTTTCGTCTTCGTTCTGTGGAAGATCAAAGAAAAAGTAATAATATGATGATTAACTTGATTATTTTCAACAACAATTATTTTAGTACTACTCAGAGAGAAGATTGTTTGTAAAAAATTGTAATGTTTATTACGAAAGATACAACTTTTGCAGCCTATTCTCAGCAGTGTTTTTCTGTCTCAAGTTTTGCCCCCTTGAAAGCTTCCTTGCACAATAGGCTAGCAACTCATTTATAGGGCAAGTGATTCGACGAGCGGATGTAGTGTACGCAGCTTCTTTGGAATAAGACAGAAAACAGCTGGATTGAAAAGGGAAAGAACATTTTTGATATTTTCAATTTCTTTCGAATTTGCAAGAACAAGCATAACTTTGAACAGCGTACCTTATACTTTCGATTCATCCATATAAAAGTCCAGCTTCACTTTGTGCATTTTTTATTTGACATCTTCTTCGCTCGAGTCCACTGATAACACTTGAATAATCAATTTTTTATCTTAGGAACCCAGTGGGGTACCCAGGATTTTGTCTCGGGGGGGGGGGGCGACAAAAATTCTTTTCTATTGAAGGTGCGTGGCGTCAGCCACGCACTCCAAAAAATTTTTTGGGATGTTTCCCAGATTTTTTCCTGGCCCCTGATCCCAAAATTTTAAAAAATTTTACAAGGCTAATTTAAATTTTTAAAAATTTTTAAAAATTGTTTTAATTATTTACAAGTAAGAACAAGTCCTTTGCACATTTTTATAACACATTTAAGTAACTACCAAAAATTTCGCGAGTACCATTCTCGGGGGAGGGAGGGGGGGCCCTCGGTACGCCAGTGTAGGAACCTAATGAAATAGCATTAAGTAGGTCGTATATTTATTTTGACATGTAAATCTCTATAAGTTTGCTGATAGTTAGCTAGAATTTTTTGAGAAGAGATAGCTCTAAGCTTCTGCTACCACATACTGATTAGTAAAATTTTTACCAGCTAGAAAGCACAGTTTTGTCTTGAAATGGCTGGAGTTCCAAATCTCAGTTCCTTAACTTTCCAAGTTCTTTTTTTCACGCAGTGGTGAATGTGAAGATAAATTGGTAAATGGATACGTCCAGGCTTGTTGTGCTTGATGAACAACAATAAAGTTGTGAGCTGAGCTGCTAGTTTGATTTTCTAATTTATGTGTACGAAATCTTCACATAGCGCCTCACAGAGAAGGGGCATCCTACTCCTTTGCGTATTTCTTCAAAAGAAAAGATTCCACTTAAGCAAAGTGCATCATCTAATCCTCATCGAAACCCTTTGGAGATATCGAACATCAAACGAAAAATTGTCTGCAAAATATGCGACGCCGAAGCAACCAAAATTCTCACTAGCCAGCCTGATTGATCTTGTAATAAGATTCGATTAGATTTTTCTGCACATAGATGCAATTTCTGGAGACATTTGAAAATTTTTCAGATTTTTCCTTGTAAATTTTCTTGTGTCGGACTTTATATGGTTGTTTGAACATTGCCTTGTAGGGTTTGATTTGCTTTACCTCATGTTTCATAATTTTTACATCTTTTCTGCCACTCAATTTTTACATCTCCTCAAATTATGCATCAACCTAATATTTCATTTATACAAGTTAATCTCGTTCTCTACCATAATCTTCGTGTTCGTGTACACTTTCATTGACTGACATTTTCTCTGCTCTCATAAACTTCGGTCTTTTCGACGAGACGAACGGGCCACACGTCATTAACTCGGGTCTGACGACCCATTACATCTCGTACAAAACGGAAGTCTCGGGCTTTGTTGGATTTGCAAATGAATTGCTTCCGTGTTGTCCTGTGCGAGTTCCAGATATAGTATCAGGGCTTGTGCTGACGAAAACAAAGATCGGATGAAGTGTTTTGACTCGGGTTTCTTCGTCAAAAAAGGGCCGAATTTCAACATATAAATCAAAGAGCGAACTGGATTTTTGCACTTAAAAATTGTTTTCTATTTCGAATTTTTGTTTTTGGGTGTGTGTACTTCATGTTCGGCCTCTGCTCAGCTATATTTCAATTATTTATTTCTAATTTTTTATTCATATGTACGTTTATTTATTTATTTATACTTATTTATTTATTTTCCATAGATATTTATTTTATTTATTTGTTTATTTCTATTTGATCTATTAGGTTGTTCCGAAAGTTCTTTCCGTTTTTTCAACATATCATAAAAACACGTGGAATGAAGAAAGGGAAACGCTTCAGGCACTGTCCGACGCAACTTTTCTTCCTCTTTTCAACCATCATAGTCCTGTGCCGCTCGCTCTTGTGATCAGTGAGATAATGACCGAAAAAAAGGACCTATGTTTTTTACCATGTCCAACTTTGGCAATTTTTCACTATCTTCTTTTTTGACCTTTGGAAAAGCTTTGATAGCAGTCAGATAGAGTAAACAAAGTGCAATATCATGCAATTTTTCGGCATCTATAGCTAGCCTCAAAACATTTTTAGAATTATTTTTCTGATGCTATCAAATTCCACTTTTATTGATGCTAAGAACCATAGAACATAAAACGGCGCACATTTAAGGCGTCATTCGATGCAGCTTTTCTTCCTCTTTCTATTGAGTATTTCTCTTCCCAATTTGTGGGAGTTTTTGGCGATAAAATCTCCATAATTCTTGATTTTGAACCTGTCTAAGGGTGTACACGTGAAATGCGAAATCTTAAATTTAGAAGCGGTAAACACTCAGTTACTCTGTAAAAATAGTGTACAATCATAAACGACTTTTGAAAGTGTCGAAATCCGAAGATTTGTTAATGTTTGGAGCGTTTGTGTGTTTTGTGACTTCGAAAAAGTGAAGACTTCTGGAAAAGTTATCTCAAAAAATACTGAGAAGCCAACTGAGATTGCCAAAAAATTACATCAAATTGCACTTTGTTTACTCTATCTGATTGCTATCAAAGCTTTCCCAAAAGTCAAAAAAGAAGATTGTGAAAAATTGTCGAATTTGGACATGGTAAAAACCATGGGTTCGAAATTACGGTCATTATCTCACTGACCACAAGAGCAAGCAGCACAAAAATATGTCATCTGAAAAGGGGAAGAAAAGATGCATCGGATAGTGCCTGAAGTGTTTCCCTACCTTCATTTCACGTGTTTTTATGATATGTTGAAAAAACGGAAAGAACTTTCGGAACGACCTAATATTTATTTCTATTTTCTGATTATTTCCATTTCTATTTCAATTATTTATTCCTATTTTATTTTCATTTCTTTTTATTTCTAATCTCATCATTTCAGCAAAAAATCTAAAATTTGTGATACCGGCTCTTTCAAAAAGTTCTCTTTTTTCCATTTTCCAGAAATTTTTCCTGTATAAATTGCTACTATAGTTTTCTGTTCTTGCTAGCTTTTTCGTCATGGACATTTGTTTATGTGGCGCTTTCCCATGTTTACAATGTCGGGTGACACAAGCTCGAATTCCATATCCAAAAAAACGCTCGTAGCCGTCTGAAACGCAATGCTTTAGCAGATGTTTGAACTATGTCGCGGCCCCTGGTGTTCAGATATTCATACATCTCATCCATTTTTCAGCTCTTTGTTCATTTATCCTCCACTCATTCATCTTTTCGCTCCTATTCTTCTTTTATCCAGTTTTTCCCTCGCTTTCTGCACAATTCTCCAACCTTCGAGAAAAGTGCAAACGCCGCGGCTCTAGAGTAAGACATAAAGTTCCACGAATAGCCCCGAAATTTGCACTTTTGCCCGAAATGCAATCCTATGCCATCGACCAGCTTTATGTTCTCCTAAAATTGTGGTGCTGGCAGCAAATTATAGACTAACTCTATTTCAGAGACGAATAACGGCTTTGACCTTGCCAGTTTACACTGGAATCACTCGGTCGCGTGAGTCAGAAAAAGAGCGCACTTTTTCTTGCAGAGGAAAAAGTGAGAAAAGCTGACAGCCAGCAGATACAAAGGACCTTGTGTGAAGCTCCATTATGTCCAAAGATCATGCATCAGCTTCAAGGTAATGCGTAAGAATTTTTTGGAATTCTCATTGTCTTGTTAACTGTCTATAGTCTCACTCGAATTATGGCATGTTTGCTGGCATTTATCAAACTCATAAGCCCAAAAAGTCAAAAATCTCAAAACAACTGCTAAATGGGCACTTCCCAGATATTTATCTCAAGCTGGCATGATATGCTTCTATTGTTATGATGGTTGCATTGCCAAAAAAAGAACTACATAATAAAATCGCTTTCAAAGCTTTTTCTGTAATGGCTTCGCTATTATTGAGATGGAGTCATGCGTAGAAAGTTTGAAGGGGCTTTTACTAGTAATAGACTTGTTTTTTACTTGCATTTCTGGAGGAAAGAACCAGGACGTTTCACTTATTTACCTTCGTAGCTTTCTCATAGTGCTAAAGAATTTTCGTCGTTTGTTGTTTGATAACTCATTTTTGTGCTAAAAGAAGTCCTACTCTTCAGTGGAGATAAACTTATCCAAGCTAGATACTTTGAGTCGTGTCGCCCCTATGATTATAAAAACCTTTAAAAAACTCTGCCAAATGATCAAATTTTTGAAGATGATTTATTAAAGGAAAATAGAAAAACCTTCTCAAAAACTGCCAACTGATCAGACATTTTGGGGATATTTATATAAGCAAAAGTCCATCGCACTTGTACTCGCTTGCTTGTCTAAGATGTCAGGAGCACTGCCTCTTGAAAGGTTAAGATGATTGGCATGAATCTGGACTGAAAAGTTTGGAACCAAACTTTTCAGTACAGATTCATGCCGATCATTTTTCAACCGTTTTTTTTTCTTTTCATATTCTGTATGGAAAAATAAGGCTCGGTTCAGGAAATTACTGATCTCACCTAGCAAATGAATACTTTTGAGTACGCACTATCTATTTATTAAAAAAGAAACAAAAAAGCGGGGTGTTTTGTAAGGGTAAACTGATATGATCTCTCACATATAATGGATCTTCGAAATTATCAAAAGGTTTTTTAGCGGTTTTCTAGTTTTTCTCGTGTAGGCCATCTACCCTTTGATTAAACTGAATTGGCGGTTGGAAGGCATGATTCCGTGACCTAGTTAAGGCTAGGGAATGATTAGAGAGCGCGCGAGCAAGAGAGAGACGCAGACTCCGTCGCGGACGCGAGCGGCAGTAATTAGTCCACAAAGCCCCGCCTTTCAACCGCCAAACCGATCGAGTCAAAAATTAGATAACATTTTACAGCTGAAAATAGTGCTTTTGAAGTGAAACTGGCTAAATTGTGTGGAAGTAGTACCAAATCCCTTTTTTTTATTACTACTGTTTATTCTTTTTTTTCGCTCCTAATGGCGTACATTTCATGCCTAATAGAGAAACGAAATCAACTGAATAAATAGGCATTGTAGGGTCTTTGAACCCTCTTCAAATTCGTAGCCCTTTCTTTCTTATTATTGAGGCCTTAGCGTTTTTCATTTGAATTGAGGAGCAAAAGTTTATTTTGGTTTGAAGAGTACGTAACCTGAGCTCTGCATTTGTTTTCAGTCAATTGCGCGCTAAACGCTAAGATCAGTAGCACTTTCACACTTGGCACTTCATCATATTTCATGCGTATCTAATTTCTTTACACCTTTACACAAATCCATGTTTTCTTTGCATCCTCCACAAGTAAGAAGCATGCCTCAGAAAATGTGCATTATCCTTTACTTGCCGCTTTTCTTGTACTGTTTTAGTTTTGACGAATCGTTTCCTGCGGCTAGTAAGGTGCTTGAATGAATAGATCGCAATGTTTTCGACCGTTTCAATCTCTAAATAATGCAATGCTAGCTCGCGGATGATATTTACAACTGTAGGCTCAAAACTTGATCAAAAGAACCATCAAACGAAGCTAATCTCCTTACTACTCTAGAATAATTCCTTTGAGATCAAGATAAGTCGTTTCCAAGTCAAATAAGTTGAAATGAAGATTTATAGATATTTTAGATCGCATTCGACGCTTCTTCCACTACTCTTCGTCTTTTCAGACTTTTGATTGGTTTGTTTTCCATTTTGAAAAAACACCTATTTTTTGAAATAGCCTTGTTTTTACCGACAAACCTGGTTGCGTTCAAAACCTCAAAAATCACATTTTTGAAGGCGAATAAAGTATGGCAAGTTAGCATATTTGGAGCTGAACAACAATCAGACGTTAAGCGTCACAGAACCTGAAGAGTTCAAAAAGTAAAGTGCTGCCAACCACTGTGCGTTCGTCACGAAATCAGTATTTTCAAGACGTAATCTCACAAAATTGCTGTGAGCTGGCCAGAAAAATCTGTGATATGATCAGGGCTCGGCACAGGTGGCTTATAAGCAAGCTGGATATCGTTTTTGGGACAAAAAGCAAAGGGGTTTTCGATTGGGCCGGAAAGACACGAAATTTTTTTTAGTCAACGTTTCGTTTTTTGAAGAATTTTCAGGGATTATAGTCGAGGGTCAAAGGGGACTTCGTTTTTGAATTTCCGCTTTCCAGCTCCTTCGCGGAGCCAAAAAACTTAGAAGAATTCTCAAACTTGACCATAGCGCATGAACTTCAGACTATAATAACCTGAGAAGTTGCTAATAGAATCGTTTGATATTATTTTTTCTATAGGAAGCGGCGCTTATTCGAGAAAAGCCGAATTACTTTGCATTGACCTAATAACATTTCATAGAAGGCAAAACCCATTCGATTCAAGTGTTTACTTCAAGTGAGAGCTGTCTACTAGGCCTTCTTCTGAGAAAACTTCCTCAACAAGGAAGGGCGATCTTAGCTTGTCTAATTTATGCACCTTTTTTGTAATCAGATATCCTTGGATTTAGTTTCTAAGTTTTTTTTGCCTGACTACGAAAATCTGACTCAATAAAATAATCCGCAGACTAAAATCTGAGTTCAGTTTAGCAAAAAATATTCTGATTCGAGTTTTTGATGCCGTTCGGGATCACCAGTCTTGCAAGAAACTAATTGTACGTGTCAAGGTGGAACATAAGCCTTGCATCACAAATTCCAAAAAATTCCTCTAAAGTGCACTGAGCAACCTTTCAAGCTGTTTAGTATTTTTTTTATTGTGCGTGATCTATGCATTATTTTACCGCATACATTAGAGATGTATGTATCACCCAGTATCAAAACTCGAAAATGAAAATTAGAAAATTACAACTTCGTCCAGGGAAACTTCGTCCTATCCACACAAAATCATATTTGTTAAAAAGTGTAGACTACAAAGTTCAAAAAGTAAAATTAAATTTCTGGACCTTTCAGCAATTTTGGAAATCAAAATTTGGAATGTTTTGTGAGCAGTTAGGAGTTGGTCCTTTAACTTTCGGACAACAAGGAATAATTTGAATATCAGGCTCTTTCTGGGAAGTTACTCAATATAAATACTGCTAACTCTTTCAAAAACTAATATTAGGCTTTTATCAACCTTTCGAGAGCTTATGGGTTAGTATTTCTACCATCTCATTTTCTGTGTTCAAAAATTATGCGAAGCTGCGCAGTTGAAAAAGCAAGAAGAAGAGCGAAAGCCATGCATTCATTTCATTTCGTGAGCACAAAAACTTCGATATAATTGTATTTTCGTTATTAAAAGCCACATTTCATTTTCTAGCGGACTATAAAGCCTCATTTAATTCTAAAAATTCATCTTCTCCATATGCGTCCATTCTAAACGGCTACATCCTCTATTTTCTTGGCATGTTTCATTTTCTCGACGGTTTTGTCAGCAATTCCAGATTGTGCGCATTGTGACTGACAAGCTTTCAATTTCAGGACAAACATGCTGCGACGGTTGTCAGATTCATGCCATCGAATATTATTCAAGCAGAATAAGGTTAGTTCCGCTTAGGGTTTTGTTGAAGTTTTGGGCTTGGGCAAAAGCGGATAACGAAGCAATATTCCCATTCGTTTTCTTAGTTTTTGAGTGACTTGCACTCTTATGTTCGTCCTCGTTAAAAGGAGGAAGGAAGGTTTTTTTAATGGACTCTGGCGTAAACTTCATAGTCCAAAGTTGCCATAACAGTTGCTTAAATTTATGTTTGTCAAACCCATCTCTTCCCTTTTTTAAATCTTCTACCGTAATACTTATTTGTTCCATATGAGAAACAACGCCTGGATTAAGTTTCAATCCCTTGCATAATTATAAATAATGCTAGCTATTCTTTTCTTTTCTTCAGACGACACTCGAAAACATCCCGTTGTTTACGATTCCAGTATAATTAAATCCACGACTAATCTAACGGCTCAGCGTTTCTCATTCATTTTGCTTTTTATGGGCTCCACGCACACTCTACGAGACAACTAAGTTTTGTTTGCTGAATTGTTTGAATTATTCAAATTATTTCTTCCTTGCAAGGGTTGTCGAAGAAACAAAGTTTTTCGTGGATTTGAAATTCGAGGTTCAATACTTTAAAAAAAACCCTGACACGCGTGTGGCTAAAAATTAATTCTTGACAGCTCAACGACATTCTTGACTGCTATTTCAGAACGGGAAGAAATTCATTTTTTTTTTGAAAAATACTGCAGGTAAAACTGTAGCAACTCAAAGCGATGTGACAACAAACAGTTGGAGAGTTTGCACTCTTAAAAATAGTTTTACTGAAATTGTTCCGCTTTTCTCAGAGACAGCTAGGAAGCAGGAAATAGCCACAGTTTACAGGCACTTATTTTATCCTCATCCACTTCAAAGGTTCACATTTTTTATGCAAGATATGGTGATGATATCATTTGAGGCTTCAATATGTCAGTAGTGGGATCGCATATGTATTAGGTTGATGCACAATTCTTGCACCAAAATTCAGAACAGAATTTTTTCAAAAATGCTCAAACATGCCAGTATTTACAGAATATGCTTGTTGTTATATATACAAAAGTAGTATTTTATGGTATATTTTAGAAAATTGATTTGAAACAAAATCATTGATTCTTTGTAAAAAAATCGGGATTCGTAATTATCCGCAGAATCATCTAATCACTACCAACTTTTCCTTGTTAGGAAGAATATGTCATAAGGCTAACACCAAAACTTTGAATTTTGGTAGATGTTTTAGCAATTTTAGTGACCAGAGATCGAAAAATCACTTTTTGGTATTTCTCTCAATCGACTTATATGTTGCTATAAGCCCTCAAGGAATTTTGGATCGAGCATCCTCAGAATGCGCAAAATTTTTCCTATCAAACCAGAAGACTTTCTTGAAGCTGGATGAAGTAACAGAACTTCAAAAATTTCAGTGCAAGAAATGCATCAACCTGATATAATAGTTCCAAGTTATACAGCAAAATTCATTCTTAGTTCCTGAAAATTACAATGCTACATAGTGGCACTGCTGTACAGCATAAGCACAGTATGTACATACATAGACAAACTAAATAAAATTCAAAATAAAACTTTTTTCCTATATTTCCCTGGTGTATTTCAATAATCTTTTGGGTAAGGAGCTTTATGCAGTTGGCAGGCTTCGATCCCATTGCACATGGCAATACACATGAGTTAGCGAAGTTCAGAAAGATTCAGTGAGGTGGAAAATTTAACTTGCACTTTTTACATTGACTTTATTTGCACTGTTCCACCAAAGCTGCATAAAACACCAGATTTTCCAGAGCGCATAATCAAATTGCTCACACTAACAAACAGAGGACGAGCAACCTTTGTTTGTCATTGTGAGAAAGGGTGGTAGACTCTCTGGTAGACCTCTTCGCCTCATTTTCAACATCAGTTACTCGCATCCAGTTTAGCTAACTGTCATTCGAAGAGCTTACATACGCTTCATAACAACTTCCAAAAAATTCAATGCTTTCTTTCTTAAGATTTCGGGAAAATTCATTAGTAAGATTTACGTAACAAAGTCTTCTTTCCTTAGCAATACCAGTCCGCGCTTTGTGCCCATTAGTACAAACTTCTTTTTAGAAGATTTTGTGAACACCTTACAGCTGCAGGCCTTTCGTCCTTCAGCCTACTCAGCAACTTTCAAGAAGCGCTCCCTTTGTCTTAGATCCCCTCGACAGCCTATAAGAAGTTTTCCAATTTTCTGAGCTCATACGTTCCTAAGGTATTGGTACTACAAGAATATCTCTCCTTGTTTTGCGGTTCAAGTATAAACTTATGTTTGACTCATCTACAGAGCTGATTAGACGGTGCACAAAGTTGAAAAATGGCTCGGATTTTTTTTTCAAAATTACTGACTCTCTCTTATAATCAGGTGGCTTTTTATCGAAGCATGCATTACTTCCTTCTTCTTGCAGTTCATCATCAGTTCATAGGAACATTAAATCTAGTGAAGCATTAGCAAATACACACTAATCTTCTCATGATGTTGGAAAAATTTTACCGCTGTTTAAGACAGGGTGATGTGAACTCCTCTTTTATTCTTTTATCTTGTGTTTTCTCCATTTTTCATGAAAATGATGCACTACAACATTTGTAGGTGCATAATAAAATATAAAAACGTCTACCACCAAAAAGATATAAGTATAAATACTGGCGTTGCAGGAGTTCATTTCCGAGAGAATGGCTAAACAAAAAATTAACAAAAGGCACTTGACAAGCTTCCTATTGAGATCAGTGGTCTTATGAGCAATAATAAGATTTCAAGCAGTAGATAGAACATTTTTCTTTGTGCACAGAACATTTCCCTTCCCCCCCCCCAACTTCTATGTGAATTTCAAGACGGTAGCCACAGGCCGTAAAAGCAAACGATGCCCAGCATCTCAGAAACGGTCCGACAAAATCTCTAAGCAAACAGCCCCCTTCTTGAAAAAATTATCATATGATATAATTGTCCTGCGAAATCCGCAGCTGGAAAACTGTGCTCAAGCTAATCTCAATTCTTTTCCTCGAGCTTTACGCAAATCACTTTTCGTGCGTATCCCTTGCAAAGCGCTGTGGCATTTTTTCCTACTCATCATGTTCTAACATATCAACACTTTTTCTTTGATTTCAACAACCAAAGTTCTGAGATTTTATTGTATAAGTTAGATTGTGCAATGTGGAAAAAGCACATCTTCAGACCTCGTCTTTTTATTTCCTCTTTCTCTTTACTGCTCTCACGAATCACCAACAATTTTTTACTTTGTTACACCGCTGCCTTCGCATTTTTCATCTATCACAGCAAATTCTCAAATTATTCCCATTGGTACCATCATTCTGTCTACAAATGTGTCAATGTATAAATATTAGCGCTACAACATCTTCGTTTTGTTTGTCAAGATGAGAAATTTTTATAGTCAAAATAATGTTCTCGTCAGCAATTTTCTGTTTTCCCTGGTGACTGTGAAGTTGCTCATAAAGGTTTCTAGCTCTAAGCTCAAATCGACACGTCTCTAGCTTGAGCTAACCCGCGGAGATTACGGTAATTTTAATGTACTATTTTGACCTTAGTCGGTTCAAATGCATGATTTATACTCATTCTATCGTTGTTTACTATCATCTCAGTCTAGTCAAGAAAATCTGAGCACTCATCAAGCTAAAAGGATCATCTCAACCCCGTCCAAGTGCTCTCGACAAAAATTGAGCCCCCGTACGGCGAAATTCAAGTGCCTATGTACGTTTATCGTAGCCTTGTGATTTGAAAAACGAAACCCAATTTACCAGCGAGCTCTATTTTTCACGTTTGTTTCTTTTCTAAATTGGATTTTGACGAATAGCTTTCTGCTAAGCTGAGGGATATAAAATTTATAGCCAGACAAATTCTCCATTTATTACGTTTCCACCGCTACATTATCGAGTTTTGCATCATAGCCGGCGGCTGTTTTCGAAAGCGATGTCCTTATGCCTAGAAATCTAAGATGGTCCGCACTATTTATTTATGTTTCCATAGAACCTGAAAACATCAGAAAATTTTATTTCTTTTTCCCTAAAAAGTTCGGAACAACAGAAAGTTTCTAATAGGAAATTTTACACAAATGAAAATTCTCATCTACTAAGAAATGAATCAAATATAGACTAGTCATTTTTTCAAGATTTTTGCAAGAAACTGCAACCCCATCCCTCCCTGAAACGAGAGAACGTCTCCAAATTATGTGAAATCTGAACAGCTTTTCCCAATATGATTACATTTTTTATTTCGTTGGTCGGCTACCAAATTTCCTCGGCAGCACATTTTCCTCTTCCTCCTTGACAGCGCTATGGACATTGAGCTCAGCGAAAATAATTCATTTCAAGTGGGTTTTTTTCAAATGTGAAAAGTTTGTCCTAGCTTGTTTGTTTCGCTATTTGTGTTCTCTCTTGCGAGTCACGATACCGAATAATTTATTAGACTACAAGAAATCTGCTGCATATTTGTGTCGAATGGAATTTTCTTGTGACTTTTTGGAGAAGCGAAGCATATGATACATCAGAGCATGAACTCGGAGGAACCTGAAGCTTCCTTGTTTGCGAAAAAATAGTGCAAAGTTAGAGGTTGACTCTTCTCAAAATGTAGCGAAACAACTCAGAAGTATTTGCGATAACAAATACATAGATATGTACCACAGCAGTGGCTGACCGATCCTCCCCCCCCCTCCCCTCCCGAATGGGTAGTAATGAATAAATGGGTAATGAAAGCTAGTTACATGCATCATAAAAATGTGCAAATACCTTTTTGCACTTGTAAACAATTAAAATAATTTTTGAAAATTTTTAAATTCAAATTAGCCTTGTCAAAACTCGCGGGCGCGAGCGCCACACCTCCTTTTATCCTAAAATTATGGGATCATAGGACCGCAAAAATTTAAGGGTGCTTACCAGAAGTTTTTTCGGAGTGCCTGACTGATGCCACGCACCTTCTTTCAAAAAAAGTTATCGACCCCCCCCCCCTCCCCACGGTCGAAAATTTTTGAGACCGCCACTGATACAGT